CCCCCCCCCCATCCATCCATCCATCCATCCACCCACGCGCGCGCACACTCACACAAACTGACGATGCAGCGATCTTATCTCCTGCTCTCGATTGCTGCAGTCGTGCGTTGGGCTCCATGGTCCGCCCGCTGTCATCGGTAGCAGAGGCGCTTCCCGACGTGAGTGTGCCCAACAACACTGCGAAGATCCAGCTGTTCGCCAAGGGGCTGCTGGAGGGGTTCGGACTCGACTACCCGCTGCTGTGGGCCTGCATAAGTACGGCAGGGAGGGAGGGAGACGTCATGCATGGGCCGGCAGGGCCGGCATGTACCCTTGGCACAACACATGGATGCCTTTCTTCGTGTGTGTGTGTGTTTAGAGGACACGAACGAGTTGGATGAGGACATTGCCATCGCGATAGCCCTCATACTCAAGAAGGACAGGGCGGACGTCAAGGCCGGGCTCAAGGTCAGTCAGCCAGTGAACCAACCAGCACACAACACACAGAAAGAAGCTCGAATGTCGCTCCTTTGTTTGCATCTCTCTGATCTGTCTGTCTTTTGCATGTCATGTGCAGGTGCTGGCCGACGCGCTCGACAAGAAGCTGTAAGTAATACATGCACCACACACGGAGGACAGACGCAGCCCCACCACCCACACCAAGCTTCACGCTCACACACGTCTGAATGCATTGTGTTCGTTCAGCCTTCCGAGTCTGCGCGACTGCAAGGCGGGAGAGCACGACCTCGAGAAGATCGAAGAAGCACTCGCCACCCTCTCAAACCCACACGTAGCCATCCCATCACCACACACAGACAGAGAACCACACCCACACAAAGTGAGCTACCCACCCTTCAAATCTCTGTGCTGTGCTGTGCGTCCAGTCGTTTGCTCTGCACGTGGGCAAGGACCTGCTGATCAACGGGCGCGACATCTTCCACGAGATGAACCAGGCCGTCATCGCATACGGCAATGACGACTGGGAGGGCCTCGGCGAAGACGTCGGCATGGTCAGTCAGCGAAGCGACCATGCCGACCACACACGTCTACCTTTCAAGAATCAAGAGTGTCTGTTTGTCTGCCCTTGCTTGTGCAGGCCCTTGGCAAGCTCCTCATCGGTGTGGCCATCCCCCACCCCCCGGGCCCCTCTGCTATCTCCCCTGACGCACTGCGTCGCGCATCCTATTTCCTGGCTGGCGTGGCGCAGGGGCTGCCCCCACGGTGGACGGCTCTGGGGGGGAGGGGCAAGGACCAGCCAGTGGTCTTCGGCAAGGAGGGCAACGACACTTCTTGCATCGACACCGTCATGGTGAGAGAGATTTGGGTCAATGAACGGATGGGTGTATTGTGTCGCGTGTGGCCGTGTGGTCCAGTCGTTTGTGGGTGCGCTGGAGGACGACTGGGCGATGGTCCTCAACAAGACCACCTTCAGGGAGGGCGTCATGGCAATCGTCGACGACATCAAGACTTACATCCCGCTCATCGTCAAGGAGTGCATCACCAACACCACCGCCCTGAGGAAGGCGCCCCTGGGCTTCGCCAGCAAGCTCACAAAACTCGCCAGAGACCTCGAGGCCCGCATGGACGGCGTCAGCATCGACAGTATCAAGGTCGAGAGGCACGAGAGCACCGACAAGGTGAGCTAAGGCGGTCAAGAGATACACCACACCCAACTATGATGTGATGTGGTCCCCTTTCTGTGATCTGTGTGTGCAGCTGATGGTGTCGATCGATGGCGTCAACGTGTCAAGGGACATGCAGATGCTCGTCCGCCACCTCCCAGCAACCTCCCCAGCAGCGCTGCTCCTGGCCGGCCAGGCGACGGGCAAGATGCTCTACAAGCTCACCCACCACGCGCACCACCACGACGCCCACCACTCGCCCCGCTCCTCGCTCGTGTCGCCGCCCAACCGCCTGACGCCCCTCCCCTCCCTCATGCTGGTCAACGAGGGGGCCCCCGTGGCGGCATCGGCCCCCACAGATGGCGAGCAGGACTACCACCCCTCCTCTCTGCCAATGCCGCCCTCACACCCGCTCACGTCGACGCAGGGCGCCAAGGCTGACTTGGGTTTGGGTGGCGATCTGGGAGGAGGGTCTTCTTCCCAGTCGCCGTCTTTCTCGACTTTTTTCGTCGTGTGGGGGTGTGTGCTGCTGTCAGTGGTGGGTGTTGCGGGCGTGTGGGGGGTGATGCGTGTGTATGGGAGGCGGCTGAGGAAGGGTTTGAGAGGGCTGAGCGGCAAGGTGGGCGCGGCGGCGTCGACCTTTGTGCACGAGCGCACCGACCTGGCGAGCGACCACGAGTGGCGCAACCTCGAGGCCCTCTCGGTGCCCCTCTCGTCCAACCACTCACACGTGTGTGAGTGAGAGTGCATTGCGTGTGTGGGTATTGATGCTTGTGTGTGTGTGTCCTTCGGCTTTGCTCAATTGTGGGAGAGGGGGAGGGCGGGGAGGGGAGGGGAGGGGCAGTTTCTTTCTCTTCTGGCGAGAGAGACAACGAAAGAGTGAGGCCGGCCAACGCAACTTTTTGGGTCGTCTGCCTGCGGCTTCGTGTCCATGTATGTGGTCGACCGCTTTGTGCCTGTGGGAAAGGGAGACTGATTGCCGCATTTTTGCGCGAACCTCGTGTGTCGCTCTTACCTACCTTTTGTTCGACTGCTGTCGTGCCTCGACTGTGCCTCCACTGTGTGTGATGACTGTGTTGGCCGCGATGGGGGGAACGAGAGTGCCGACACCGGCTGAGCAAAGCCGGGTGTCGGCACTTGTTGCTCATCCCTCGCTGTCGGCGCGGTCTTCGCGCAGGACAGAAAAGGCATGATAGTGAGGTGGTGGACCACCTTGCTCAATCTCGGCCATCCACCTGTGTGCTCATCCCACTCACTCGCCCACCACCCGTCCCATCCCATGATGTCATATGCTGTGCTGTGCTGCGGTCGGTGTTTATCGGTCCGTGGCTGGCCGCGGAAGGGGAGCACACCTAAAGCGATGATCGAATCGACAATTGAGTCATTCTGTCGGCACCTGAGGATTTGACCGCACACGGTCTGGGTGTGTGCTTCTGTCAACACGGCAGCTGACTGTGCCCATTCGTCGAGGCCAGACCGACGGATGGACTGCGTCAGCTGCTGGGGGCACAGAGGCGTGCAGCCGATCGTGTGTGTGGGAGATGGGGGAGGGGGGGTATCACGCCAGGTCTCACATTGGAGGGAGGTGGTCTGTCCTTTTTTGACTGACTGACAGGTTGCAATGCATTGCAATGCAGTGTGTGTGTGTGTGTGTGTATACTAGCAGCAGACAAGACCAGACAACCATGACTGAAGTCTTCATGACATGAACACATGGATGGACTCGAACCTGTGAAGCGCTCACATGGGTCTGACACGCACGCGACGCACGCCAACAGAGGGAGAAACAGACACGTGCTCTCATCGCCGGGGTACATGCCTGGCCCCGTCGCACAACAGCATCGTTCCCTTGATGGGAAGAATCGCCATGGCCACCTTCGTCGAGGCCATCGAGCACCTCTCGGCATGTCTCTCTCTGTTGTCTCTCATGTGTGTCTCGTTGACAGGCAGTGCTGGCTGGTTCGCTGAGACAGCCCCAATGGCGACTAATCACTGTTTCCATTTTCTGTTGTGTGAAGACCTTCTCTTGATGGAACTCGCTGTGCAGATGTGAGTGCGTGGTCGTGTTGATGACGCACCAACACCAAATAAAGACAGCTGTCGATTAATGCTTGAGCGCTTTGAAAGGAGTTGTCCTTCCAAGTCGGTCATTCAGGACTACAGATGCATCGATCTCCCCGGCTCTCGGCACCGTATCCCACTAGTCTGTCTCCCTATCACAGGGCTCCCTCCCCGATGAACAGTCGGAAGTCAGTGAAGGTCACCCTCCCCGCCGTCCCCCTGTCCATGGCGGCAAACACCTCCGCCGCGCTGATCTTGACGGCCGGGCAGACCTCGCCCATCGCACACTCGATGTCGTCCAGCAGCAGGAAGCCGCGGGAGTGCCGGTCGAGGGCAGAGAAGGCCCGGAAGGACCGGTCAAACGATGAGATCAGCCGCTCCCGACGTCTCACCTGCACTCATGTGCAACACACACTCTCCCTGATCCGTCGGTGAGAGAGTGTTGTTGCTTACGTACGATAGCTCTAAAGACCTCTTTTGAGAGGCCTGGCGGCGTGAAGGGCGGCCGCTGGTGACTAAGCCCCTCCTCCCACAAGTGCTGATGCACAGCACAGCACCACACCAGCAGCCATGTCCGTGCCTTGTTTGTTTGTGTCCTTCCGTCCCTTTCTGCCGACCCACCTGAATGTCACTCTTGACGAATGGGAAGCCGAACACCGCCAGCAGGGCGCTCTTGAGCTCTGCGCGCGTCAGCACGCCCTTGGAGCCGTGGTCAAAGCGGCAGAAGATCCTGTCCACGTCGCCATCGGACACACTGCCAAAACGAGGCTCAGCCATGATTCGCTGATGAGAGCACCTGAATCAACGAAACAATGCCACACACACGACGCACAGAGAGTGACCTGACGGATGATATGTGTGTGTCTGCACGGCCGTCGACGGCTTTTAGCTGACCTTTTCGGCGGCTCAGTCATCGCACCTCGTCAGCTGCTATCGACGCCGGCGATGAATGGAAACGCCATTGTTGAGGAGATTGAAGTTGTGAAGGTGCCTGTGAGGATGCTGCAGCCTGCCCAAGGGACGTGAGAGGACAGAAAGATCCTCCCTCAGTTTCCAAGCTCGCATTGGCGAGAGGGCACAACAAATCATGGCTTTCGCCTCTCGGCCGCAAATACGGCCCACATTGAGGCGAGAAGGTACGTGGATCTTCCCCCGCCCTCAAGGCCCCTCATGCGTTCCTCGAATCAATCACTCCAGATGAATCTGGTGTGCACGTGTGGATGTGTGTAGATGTCAGTGAGACCCCTCTGAATGGACCCCGTGTGTTGGCGCTGTTTAGTGTAGAGGTGTCTGACATTGCTGAGGGCGAATCAGGTGAGAAAATGGAGAGACAAAAGAGCACCCACCGCCCCATTTGCAGCTGCCCCGTCCGGCTTGCTTGTGTTCCATCTGTGCGTGCAGTTGCCCTTGTGCTTGGCACTCGAGACCCCGTCGCCATGAGTCCCCCGTCACCGACTTGCCCGAGGTGGTCTCTGTCTGTGGTCCTCCCTTCCGAAAGCAGGAAGGATCGTGAAGGGGTGTACAGTCGCAGCGACTTCGTAGTGAGGTGCAACTACAGCTACGGCATCATCGGAGCCGACGGACAGCTCAAGCGCCGCGAAGAGGGAGGAGGGCGGCGGCTGATGGCGGACGACACGCCTCATCTAGTCTTCTTCAAGGACACATATGGGATGTGGGAGGGCGAGACGGATGGGGTGTCGCTGAAGCCAGCTGAGGGCTCCACACCGACGGTGAGTGATGAGGCAACCACACCCCAATGAGGCAGAGCAGACACAACAGCTGTGGTGCATGTGTGTGTCGATCAATCAGGGGCCGTCCGAGTCGTTCGTCTGGGGATCGTCCCCTCCTCCAGCGCTCTGCGCCACTGTGCCGCCCGACCAGCCCCTCACCTTCCCTGACCGAGTGAGCATCTGGCGACCCTCCACTGCTTGGTTGGCAGGCCCCCCGAATCTCAGCCCTAACAACGTCGTCATCGATTTCCGAGGCGCGAGCCAGCTGACGAGGCAGCTGGCTATCGGCGTCGCCTGCAATGTCATCAGTGAGGGGTCAGCCCGCGACCTCATCCACCGAGGCGCCGAGGGCAATCAGATCGTCAGGGCGTGGCCCACTTCGGCCGGCGCCGACACGAGCCTGCCCCGACTTGCCGCAGAGCACCTGGACGAGCCCGAGGCCGTCGGCGTGATGCGGGTGCTGCTCGACGCTGGCGCCCCCAACGTCCCACCAAACAGACGCAGCGACCGCGACAGCGCACTTCACACGGCCGCGCGGGCCGGCAAGTGGGGTGTCCTGGATGTCATGCTGGAGCCGCAAGACGGCACCTCAGTTGCCGGACAGTGCCTGGTGGCGGCGGTGTGTCGCAGCGAGTCGAGCTCGGCCGACAAGCTGCGTGTGGTCAAGATGCTCGGCGAGCGGAACTTGACGGTGCTGTCGGAGAAGGACGACGATGGCTGGCGGCCCATCCATCACTTCAGCTCAAGGCCACTGAGCGACAAGAAGCTGCAGGAGCAGCTCATCGACCACTTCGCCGAGAAGCTGGGGCCGGATGTCGTCAACACACCCGTCCAGCTCACTCCCACCCTGCCGCCTGACGGCAGGCGGCCCCTCTCTATAGCTCATCACGCGTACGAGTACCACGGAAGAGCTGCAGACCCATCGAACGCCTCTGCAACGATCGAGCGTCTCTATCGGTATGGGGCGGCGCAACACATCAACACGCCCGACGGCCAGGGCAACACGGCGCTCACCGATGCGGCAGCCCGATTTTACTGTCCTAGCGAAGCCCTCGTCGGTCTGCTCGAGCACGGCGCATCTGTGGTGACTGCCGGGCTCACACAGCAGGGTGGAAGACCCAAGCTGCTTACGGCATACTCGTCCTTCCTCAACGAGTCCATCCCCCGCCTGGCCCTGCAGGCCATCAACAAGGCCCTCCGCCCATCACGCAGCCTCATGGCGTCCCTCACCCAGCCGATCTCCCTCCGCAGCCGCACCATCGCCCTGCCGCCTGACGTCCTGACGGCCATCAACGGCTATCTCGCCCCCACCAACCAGACCGACAGCCCGCCCCCCCCCCCCATCCCCATCGGCGATGAGCCCATCGGC